CTGTGAGAGAGAAAAACAGTGGAAGGGAAAAATAGGAGAGGGGAGGGAAAGAGAGAGGGAGTAATTCTTATTACTCAGGAAATAGTCTTGCAATAAGTACACATCTTTCAAGTTATTCCAACAATTTACTCATTATTTGCTGGATAGTTTTTGTTTTTTTTGTTGCTAGGTGAGAGTTCTTAGGTCTTCTAGTGGTTCACGACTATTCACTGTCAATATCTCTACCTCCTTTCCTTCCTTTTCAGTATCCACTCAGTTTCTTTGAGTGTCCCAGTATGCACTCCGGCCACTTGGGCATAGGAAAATCAAGTCCTCCTAAACACCCTATTCTATGCTGGTAGATACTTCCACCCTTTTACGTACCTTTTTCCAGACTTTTTTGTAATATAAGAGGTATCATTCTTAATCCTTGGATCAATAGAAGTTACCACAAGCCAAATGAACAAAGTAATCAACTTCCCCAAATTACATGCTTGATAGATCAAAGAGAAAGAGGAAACTTTTCATTGATCTTTCCACCATGTTCCTCTTGCAAACCTGACTTTTGCCCTCCCCTTAAAGTTAATCACTATTTTCTCCACATAAACTGCTACTAAAAATAAGCTTTTATTTGCACTTCCCCTGCCTTTAGATTTTTGCCTCCTTTAAAGTCGACAGTAAATTCTTTGCTGCTAAAAGTAATGAGATAAATGGGATTAAGTAGCCATATGTTAATTGCCTACTCACCGAAAAATCATAGTGCAGCAAAATGTGGGTAATGTAAGAAAATTTATTTTGGAGTATTCTTTAGCATGACACTTAGGAAAAGAATTCTAAGTTTTACCCACAAACACTAGGACACATTTCCACCTTTTTTCTGATTGTATTAATTATTTGCTGACTTCATTGACCAAATTATCCTATTTCTTTTAGTCATGTGTACATAAAAATTTATACACCATTGAGGACAAATTTTTCAAGCTTTAGAACTGCATATCTAATAAGTTAGAAGATATATTCATCATCTCATGGTGGCTGAGTATATTGATATCGCCAAAATTGATCTGAGACCCCTCCAAAATTTTACAGAATTCTAGAAAATAGGCATGTGGATGAAAAACGACTATAAAACATATTAGGTATTACAACAGGACAAAAGTTAGTTATGTAAATAACACACAAATGTCAAAGCAAGGACAAGTAACTCTTGCTGGTGAGCAGGCTATGTAGAAAGTGGCTTCCCAGTGGTTTTGTCAACTAGATTCCCCAGGACACAAATTTTGAGATGGAGATAGCATGTAGGAAATTAGTCAGGGAGCACTTTGGGGATGCAAAGGTAAGGAAGAGAAAGGAATGAAGCTGAGAATAGAGGAAGAAGTTAGGTACAATACAGTCTCAATGAAGGAAGCCCACAGGAAGCTCTGAGACTCAGAATGAACTGCAGAATGGCCACAAGTTGAAGCAGGGTGCTGGTCCTTGATGGCCCCAGGCCGGCCGGTCATGACACTTATAACACCAGGAAGGGTTATAAACATGGGTACAGTTCTCATTCCTTTTCCAGGAAATCCCTGGGTAATATTTCAAGGGAACACACAGACAGCTCACTAATTATTTACCAGGCTGATTGGAAAGAGAAGGGTAGATGGATAGAGTTTATTCCAGGAGTGTCTCCTGTGTATGAATTTGCAGGGAGCTTGTTTCCACAGGCAATGAAGGTCAGTGAAAAGGTAATGAGCAGGGATGAAATAGGATCAGATTAGCATTTTAGAAAGATCATTCCAGTAAAACTATGCATTGGAGATATGAGACCAGTTGAGATAGTAGTTATCACATAGTCTACACACACCCTACAGATAACACATATGCTGTTTAGGCACATACTATATATAAATCTTTTCTGAAAGTTTTGAAGTATTATTTAGATATAGTGAAAAGCACATATTTTATTTTTCAGGGGGAGATTGGTCTTGAGCAGGGGTTGACAATTTATAGCCCCCTGTCTAACCACCAGCATGAGTTTTATTAACAATTTTTACTGGAACACAGCCACATTGACTGACAGAATTTGGTACTTCTAATAGAGATGGCACAGCCTTCATAGCCTAAAATGTTCAGTTTTTCAAACTTTTACATAAAAAGTTGTCTGGTCCTTGATTTAGATTTCCAAATAATGTCACTTAACGCGAGATGTGAGAAGCTAGGTGCCGTGTATTCGGAGTTCTACCTCCTATCCTTTGTATGACTGTAGTTGCACATTTCACTACTCTTTCTGTTATAAACCCTCGAATTCAGTGTTACTATTTTGCTTTAAACTCTCAATAGTTTTTTAAAAAATTAAAATCTCGAACAAGTATTTTATATTTACTGATCTTTTAACCATTACTTCTATTTTATCTTTACTGATATTCAACATTCATTTCTTCATGAAAATATGAGCTTTAATATGGTAAAAATTTCCCTGAAGCTACAAATTTATTTTTTTCCTTTTTATCATGTCAGAGATGTGGCTTCCTTATTTTCTGGCTCACATTGTTTCTTCTGAGAAGTTATTGCCCTTTGATGATGTTAGTTTTTCTCTTTGACATTTTACTTTCAGCAAATGGTTATGAAATGAATTGGTGGTTTTTCTTGGTGTTTATCCTGCTTAGAATTCAATGAACTTCTCAGATATTTGAATTTATATATTTTAGCCATTGTGTCATCAAATAGATAAATTACATTTGTAAGCAAATATATAAAATACAAATATATATATAATGCAAACATATATATAATACAAATATCTATATATGTATATATAAATACAAATATATACAAAAATACAAATACACACAAATAAATATACTTATATAGTTTTTGTGTGGTACTAGGGATTGAATTCAGGGGCACTTGACCACTGAGCAACATTCCCACCTTTTTTTAAAATTTTTTATTTTGAGACAGGATCTCACTAAGTTATTCAGGGTCTCTCTAAGTTGCTGAGACTGACTTTGAATTTGTGATTCTCCTGCTTCAGTCTCCCAAACCACTGGTATTATAGCTATGCACCACCATGTACAGCTGTATATAGCTATTTATAAACCAATCTATAACCTTAATGTCTTAATCTGCTAATTTCACATTTCTGTTATTTTGGAATACATTTCCTTCATTGGTTTTCCTCTGGTTATGAATCATATTTTTCTGCTTTTGCACAGGTCTAGCATTGTGTGTGTGTGTGTGTGTGTGTGTGTGTGTGTATGTTCTAATTTTACACTGGGTATTATGGTTGCAACGTTGTGTAGTTTCTAAACTTTCATGACCTTGCTTGATGGAGTGTAGAATTGTTTATGGAAGAAGTTCACTTCTTTGTGAATCAGAATCACCTTTTCCAGTAACCTTTGTTAGGGTATATCCAGAGTAGCCCTTGTTCTAAGACTCTGTTATCCCTGCTTCAAGGCATGACCTTTCAGGAATGTCTACTGAACGACTGGATGTTTGCTAAGGCCTCTCCCTCTATATAGTTTGACATCAAATTTTCTAGCCCCATGCAACCTTTAGTGGTTCATTTCATAGCTCCTATAAGCTAGTCCTGTGGTGTCTTAGTCTGCAAACACACAGCAAAATATTGATTCAGAAACTTGACTTCACAGACTTCCATGATCCCTATGCAGTGTTCTAACTCTCTTTCCCAAAACAGCTGTCCACTCTCTTGGACTCTGTCCTGCAATTTCCAGCTTCCTCATCAGTGTTGAATTCTGGTCTGTTTCTATTTTCATGACACTGCTATACTCTGGGATCTGCTTCCCTGTACCGTGATCTGGAAAGTGCACCGTGCCAAATGCAAGGAGCCTGGTGGCTTTGCCTCATTGATCTTCACTCGTGGATCAGGGTCCTGCCCTCCCTGTGGTCCTGTCCTTAAGAACAGTGTTATTTTATAAAAAATATATTTTGTCAGTTTTGTAGTTGTTTAGAGAGTTATTCTATCAGAGCCAAAAGAAAACATTAGCCATATAAACATTGTTAAATGAATGATGTATGTGTAATGATTTATAAAATGATTTTTTATGAGAGTTCTCATAGAATAAATTATTTGGCCATCCTTTGAATTCCTTACTTAAACAATGATATGTATTATGTTGATATATCGTACATTGGAAAAGCCGCTGAATATTTTTCTATCATTTCTGCCTGTTAGTAGCTGAACTCACCCCAGATTGTAATGCCTCTTAGCACTAAGCATTATTCGGTATTTTCTGTCACTTTTTTTTGTGTGAAGCTATAGTGGTTAATATTAAGAATATCACTAAAAATTGAGTCTTTTGGTTCTAAGTTAGAGTCACTGTCTAATAAATATTCTTATATTCTTACTATTACCAATTGGTCATCCTATTTTACCAAAAGATGTTTAATTTTATTCAATGTTTCAAATTATTTTTCTAGAAATATGGTAAAAAGAGTCAGTGGATTCTTTCCCTGAGGTGATATATACTGCCTGTTTCTCTTTCCTCTCACAAAATCAGGGGTCTAATGTACGATTAGATCTCATTTTAAGAACTAAAGTACTTACATTCTTTGAACTCTGAACTTCTTAAGGCAAAATGTATTTGAGAGTTGTGTATGATTGGTTTTTGTTTCATTTATAATTTACTAAAAGTTAAAACCTTTACATGAAAGAAAAGGAATTAGTTACTTTTTTTTTTTTTTTCCTGGTGATTTTAGCAGAAGAGTTCATGGTAAATTGATCAACCCTCAGCCAATTAGACTTTGACATGTACTAATAAGATCTAATTGAGGAATTATGAAGACATTTGCTCAGGAGAAAATGAGCACATAATTACACCATAAAGAGGTTAAAGAATCAATGTTACCCAGCTGGAAGACTATTAGTTGAAGTCCCAGTGGCATCTATAAAGGACACTTCATAATATATCTGCGAAATACAACACTGACAAGGCCAATTAAGATATGTAGAATAATATGTTCCAATTGTACAAGTTCAACCTCAAATATTCATCTTTCCCTCTTGCCTCTACCCTCAGGTGCTGGAGGATGGTCTCCATCTGACAGTGACCACTACCAGTGGCTTCAGGTTGACTTTGGCAACCGGAAGCAGATCAGTGCCATTGCAACCCAAGGGAGATACAGCAGCTCCGACTGGGTGACCCAGTACCGAATGCTCTACAGTGACACGGGGAGAAACTGGAAACCCTACCATCAGGACGGGAATATTTGGGTGAGTCATTATCAGAAATGAGAAGAGAGAGACAGAATAGAGGTACCAGTATTTGAAAATGGGAAAGGACCCACAGGTTAAGGTACTCCAGGCCCTCCATCTCTTGAGCCGTATGTAGCTTTATTTTTCCATTAGAACTATTGATAAACCAATTATTAAATATTTATTCATTATTTAGTCTTGTGCATTGAAGAATTTCCTGAGACTGCAATTTTTTTTTCAATACTTAGCAATTGGTCTTATTGTATCACAATGGGTCTCAGTCTGTTATGTATTCAAATTACCTGAAGAGGTTTAAAAGTATGTGGATGTCAGTCATACCCAGAACAAAAAGATCAGAATCACATCAGTGGAAAATATGATTGATGATATTGGTAACTTTTTGAGATAGAGAACTTTAATTAGAATAAAATATTAAAATCATGAGGAAAATAACTTAGAGAAACAGGAGCACTAGCAATTTACCCATACTATAATTGTACTTTATACCCTTATTACAGATCTATATTTATTCTCTTACTGTGATAGAAAAACAAGGTTTTATTCATGTACTCAGAAAAACCCTCAGTTAAATTGGAAAGTAGTATTTATTCAATCAATTATTTAGCACATTTGAATACATTATTTAATACTAAATTTTAAGGAATCTATTGTAGTTTAACTACTTCAAAAAAAAAAAAAACAGTTACAACCAAAAAGCCATTAATATTATAAGCAAAGAGAAGGACAAAGTGGAGGAGAAGGAAATATTCATATTTTACATTTACCCTTCACAGTTTAGACAGAGTACTGGGTACTTTCAACCTGATTAGGCCCATTTTTAGGGAATTTATACTTTACAAGAATAAATTTATTTAAAAAATGAATAAAAAGAATCCCAGAGTTTAGAATTCCAAGCATGGTTATCACTTCCTCAGCAGTGTCTAATAACAGTAACTATCATGTGCAATAAGGATACCTGGGAAATAATACCTGGGAAATAAAAGGTGTGCCTGCCCAAATAATACTCCCTTGGAGCTGTAATTGTATAGCACAAACATGTGGGTATTGGAATGTATAACTTATAGGAAACAAGTGTAGGAAATGCTTCAGTGGAAAGTCATCTAACAATTATGATAATTCAATGCCTCAGGCATAAATTATAGCAATGGGATTGTTCGCCCAGGATAGACAATGGAATCATGTAAAGAGCTTTAAAACAGAAGGTTGCTTATGTCCCAAACTCAGATTTGGATTTAATTGGCCTAACATGCAAAACAGGGAAAGGGGTTTGGGGATTTAAAAGTTCTCAAGGTTATTTTTTATCATTTTGCCAACATTGAGAACCATATTTTAGATCAAATTATGTGAAGAGCTGAAAGTCAGACTCCAAACTATCTTTCACATCTGTGTTTTTATAAAGTTTTCACCTGACAATTAAGAAATATTCATATCCTCTGGCCCCTGGATGTGTTAAACTGTAATGAAGATGGCTGCCAAAATGTAGCCACAGGGGATCTGTTCAGGTGCTTAACAGATTAGTCACAGTATGAAGTGAATGAGGAGACACAAGTTAAAAGGGTGAAAGAAACTAAAATTGTCAAGGATGACATGGACTCTTCTGGTGCTGTACAAAATACCAAAGCTGTCCTGCGGTGAAAATATCACAAGTTGTGAATGTGGATTGGGTCTCCAGGGTTCTCAGATATTTGTGAAGGTGATATAGGATATGTTTCTATAGTCTTCTACCTTTCTGTTTTCATTTTGTTTCATTCTTTCAAATCATATATATTTTCATTAAAATTAGCGGGCTATGTGATGAGTGATTGTGGGAAAAAATGTAGTGAAGTAATCATGAAATTTTAAAAATCAAGTTTAAAATGAAATATAGATATTGTGAACCACATTTAAGTGTCAATAAGCCCTCCACATGATGGCTCTAATCTTAACTATTTTTTAATGATATATGACAGAAATGATATAATCCTAATATGAAAAATAGTTCATTGCTTTGATGTATTCTAAAAGAGATCAAGTTCATTGACTTTTAAAAATTTGTGAGTACTTCAGAGCTTATGTCTTAACAAGCATTAAGTGATTAGAATTTAGCTTCTGTAATATCAACAAAAATATTTTAGGCTTAAGTTTATTAAAAATGTTAATTCAATACTAGATTTTCTTTTAATCTGCTACTTCTTAACCTCATGTAATTTGGATTTAAAAGAAAATTCTAACCTCGATTAGATTAGATGGCTTTTGATGAACAACACCTTCTAAGATTTCAGAGTCAAAGGATTTCATTTTGATGTGTTTGAGATTGCCATTCCTAAAATGATCGATTACCTCAGAAGAATGTAAGATAATGTAAATTCAATCTCTTCAATATTTAACAAAAGTCAGTGGCTACTCTTTATACAGTTGTTGAGAAAATAAATGACATGACTTCTTTTCAATAATATTTTTAAATGTCCATGGGGATATTCTATATTTTTTATCATTAGATACTATATTAAAATATAAAATATTAAAATATGCAAAGACCAGAGTATTCTGACAGTTTTATAAGACTTTAAAGTCATGAATCTTACATTGTGGAATGAAAATGGCTTTTGAATAGATTACTAAAGAGTAGTTTATCTGAATATTTAATAGACAAAGATATAATTTGTTAAATGTTCCTAATTACCCAAACCTTCTACTCCTCTTTGATAATACTGAGTATAAAAGAATCCTATATACTTTATTAATGATACCATTTCCTTCTATTTAGAATTTCCTTTCAAATGTAAAAGAAATTTGTGGATTGATAAAACTGCCACCTCCCTAGTCATTGAATTAATCTATACCACAAACTCTGACTTGTGTACTTCTGGGCAGTATTTTCAGGTTTCCTAAGTATAATGTGTGGGAGAGAAAATTATTCTGTATAAGCATTTCTTATCAAAAGTCCATTAGACATTACATTAAATAAGAATTCCAATAGATTTTTGCTAAGAAGGTGAATTCAGTTTTACTTGGTTTTGGAATGCAGGTATTTGGAAAAAATAGAAAAATGGATTATTAATAGTGAATGCCTTATTCAAATACCACCATTATTTTGCAGGACACTTACTACAAATTTGACTGTACTGTAATATGGACATAGTTATTCTTTTTGAATTATTTTCTTAATCATGAGAAAGTCCTTATATATTCCTAATCATTTTTTTAAAAAAAGAATTAATTCCTTTTGTTAATGGTGGATGCTAAGCAAGTATCAGATTAGGATGAGTTACCTTGTATCTACTAGTTAGAGTCCTGCTGGGAGAAATGTTTTACCACATTTGAATTATATAGTTTTATACTTACCAAAATAAGAACATAAAAGTTTATATTCTCTAATATATCCCAAAGAATATTTCTTTGCATGACCTGTTAAAAATCTGAGTTTTTGTTATATACAGGCGTTTTCTATCCATGTATACGCATACATAAAGCTACATTGTTTTTAACAAATTAAAAATATTTCAAAAATCTTGAAGGCAAATATAACAATTAATAGATAAATATATTAAATGTTTTGTTTTCTGAACATCAAATTAATAGCTGGAATTATATACTCCACTATATTTTTAAATAAATATCCCATTAATCAAATTTGTTTGTCAAGTAGATGCCAATACATAAGATTGAAAGGTCTGTGCTGCATGTCTTGGTTCATTTATTTGTTTTGTAAACTTAGAAGATGTGATTTCTTTCTTTTGACCTGAAATCCCTAATCTAAGAAATGGGAATAATAGCAAATGGATGATTTAGCTGAATATATAAGTAAGGAAATTTTGCAAACTATGAGGCTTTAGAAACACAAGTGCTGTCAATTATAGAAGCATTCTGTGAATCAAGTGTAGTGTGTCCTTTGAGTGAGAAGAGCCTGCAATGATCACTGTCAGGTTTATTCATCACGCTACCTTTTCCCTATCCTCATGCATGATTTGAAATACCTGACAGTATTGTTAATGAAGGACACATGACTTAAAATAGGAGGTAGACTGCACAAATCTCTGGCATATTTTTCAAATAAACAAAGGGAAGAGCATGGCTAAATGCATCGGTAGGTAGGGCAATGCAGGCTGGGCCAGTGACTCATGATAGGGAGGCTCAGCTCTGGGCCAAGTGCCATTGCAATGCTTGTAACAAATTATCTGTTACCATAATGATGGCCCTGTGTGCAATGAGCCATGTAAGGGGACACTGTTCAAAATGAATACATTGTTCTGTGCTTTCTTTTTGGCCATTTGTTATAGCAGTTGCACTAATTTTCCAAACCACTCAAAAATCTGTTCCCATAATGTTGTGTTTTATAAATGTAAAACATGAATACCTCTGTTTCACAGTTCAGTAGTATACAGAGATTCTCCAAAAAAGTCTGGAATTTTTTTTTTCTCCAATTGAAACTAAGGAAGAAAGCCATCCCTGTTGCTTGATCATGCATCGTCCATCACATGATATCTTCCAACTTAGCACACTAATGGAATTCTCTTCACCAAAAGATGGGAACTACCCATGCTTGTTTATGTATCCATGTGCCTGGTTTCTGCAATCAGATATTTGAGAAAGGACCAGACAGGCATATTCAAAATAATTTTATAGATAGCTTATAGAGAAATAAAACACATCAAAATAATCTGCATTAAACACTTTCTAAAATGAGCTTTGATATAAATGGGGTGAAAATCTTCAGGACTTGTATAGAAGAAAACAATTTCCAAGGTGAATTTAAAGTAAGTTTCTCATTTCTGTGAAATAGATTTTTCTGTTTACTCCTGCCTTTGACTGGGTGATATTTTTAAAGTTTCATGAATTTTAATAGGGTGAGTGGATATTCCAGATCTTTTTACATACACTATAATGCTTCTACTAGTGAATTGTGATCACCTTTCTAAATATGCATTTGTATTGTGAACATCTCGTTTTAAGGGGTCATGAGTTTTCTTCTTGTGTCAATTTGTGAGTCACTCAACATCCTTTATAGAACTATTACT